CCGGCTTCTTTTCGAGGGCGAACCGAGGTGTTTATCTGCCACGTGTTCATCGTTTATTTCTTTTTCATTTTTCTTGCCCTTCGCCCTCCGTCCGCTTGCTCAACAGTCTGCCGCTAAAGCGTGGCCAAGTGTTATACTTTAAGTATTGCGTAGTTGGACATCCTACAGTCTCTTGGTCACTTTCAGATTTGCGGCCAGCCGTCGTCAAGCCCGTCCTACTTCGCCATGGATGAAGCGTACGTAACTTTGGTGACAAACGACGCCTATGCATTGGGTGCTCTAGTGCTCGGGCAGTCGCTGATCAAAGTGGGCACAAATCGCTCGCTGCACTGCATCGTTACGCCTGGCGTCAGTGAAGCCATGAGGTATGAATTTCGAACGTTGTTAGGTGCTCACTGCCGCCGAGTTCCCTCATGTTTTGTTAAACTGCTCCAATAATCTTCGTTTCTTCCCGTTCGGTTATCACAGGTCATCGAGTGACACGGCGACGGCGACGGTCATTTTTCTTTTTCACTTTCACCTCATTTTCATTTTCATTCGTTTCAGGAACGCGATCGCACGCATCTACACGCACGTGACGCTGGTGGATGTGTTGGACAGTGGCGATGAAGCGCACCTGGCGCTCATCAAGCGACCCGAACTCGGAGTCACGTTCACGAAGCTGCATTGTTGGCAACTGACTCAGTACCGGAAGTGCGTGTTTTTGGACGCTGACTGCCTCGTAAGATTCATTTCGTTTCACACTGGCAGACCGACCGCGTATCGCTCTTTGTAACTAATATTATTATTAAATATTATTTGATGGGTTGGACGCATGGCCGCCGGGCGCAGAAGCGCTACTAGCAGCTTAACTCTGCCTGTTATATAAAGCAACGAATGGCTATCGGCCTTTCGCCGACGGGTTTGCTGCTTCACTTCATCACTTCAGTCTGTGCGGCAAGTCAAGTGGTGACGAATCCCTAACTAGAATCGGTTCGCGCGCCACACCTAATTCCCGATGAGCGCCGAATAAAAGCCACTCATGCGCACCCGGTCAAGTGCAGCGCACGTTCTTTCCTTCAAACTAAGAATGAAACTACTTTCAGCCACTTGTCTTTCTTCCAGACGAGAGTAAGCCTCGAACGTTTCTAAAAATTTCTGAGCGTCCTTGCATTGTTTGCAGTTTCTCTTTCTTCCGACGATAACTGGATTATCGTGCGCGGAATTTTGCGCTGAGAGGGAGTGTCAAGTCTTCGAAGTTTCGCGTTCGAACTTGTGAAGGTACCGTAACGGAAGGGAGGGAGGAAGGAAGACTAAGGCCATGTCAGTTATGCTATTATCGCTACATTCCATCCAGTCCCGAAATCCAGACGTGATCTGATTGTAGACGTGGCCTACACACATCTGAGCTGAAAAGGCTGCGTTATGTACATTTAATTCTATATTTTATTTTCCCAAATAGCCTATGAACGTGTCACTCTTCCGGATGTATTCTTTTTTGACATATAAGAAAGACATAGGCGCTTGGAATTTAGCTGAATCTTATTCAGATGTATGCAAACGCAAATGAAGTCAGATGGCTAGAAAGACGGCACCCGATGACTAAGTATTTAACGTCGTTATTGGAAGCAATAATCAGTACATCTGTCGTAAAATCAGTAGTACAATCTTGCATACTGGGTTTTCTTGCGTACTGGCCCAGCGCAGTGACCGATCAGGTAACCAGCAATTATCCACATGTCTTGACACAGAATGGCACACATTGAAACGATTGGTGTAAAGCCAGCTATAAAATAGAGCTCATTGACAGTGTCGCGGTAGAAATCACACGAATTGTTGAACCCATAGTTCGGCTCTCCGTCAGATCATTCATCGCATACGATGCGGCGATGAAACAATTCAAGGCCAGAAACGACTTAACCAGAAATGATGGTATGAAGACTAGGTAGTGAAGGAGATTATAAAGAACTCCGTCGCTAGGGTCCCAACCTTTTAATCTCAAAATCGTGTGTTTGAACCTGTTTTGACTCACTTGCTATTCACATTTCCGAACCAGAGAAGCAAATAAAATTTCATGCGAAGGAAATAGCAGAGCTCCCCGCTACACATTACGGTTGCTGCGAGGATGTAGATATCAGTCAGTATGATCTCATGTCCTTTTCTTTCTCGTCGCGGAGGCGCACATCAGACAGTGTCTCCATTTCCGATCATTTTCCATCGTTTGAGCTTCGGCAGAAGATAACATGAATCTGGAACAGAGTATGCCCCCGGTCGTCCTGGGGTCTTCTGTTGGTCGGTTGATCGAGTAGTAGCTGTTTCGCCTCCTTTTCTGAAGGCATTCGCAGCACATGCTCAAACCATCTCAGTCTGGAAAGGCAGAGGCTGTACACAAAGACTCTCTTGGATATCTCTACTCCGGATCATGTTGAGACCTCAACGAGTCGTCTCAGAAAGCCCATTTCAGCCGCTTTTACCCGAGATCGAGGTTTCTAGTAATGGCCCACGACTCTTTACTATGAGCGAGCATGGGGACAGAAATCGACTTGAACACAGACAACTTCGTCTTCATATTTGGCCCTGCGTTAGTCACAGTGGTTCGGGCTAATTCACGCACAACGCCGCTGGCCATTTCAATTCACCGCTCGGAACAAGCCTGCTATTCTTAGCGGTTTCAAGCCGTCTCCCTCCAAGCGCGGCTTTTCCGGTTTCTCGTGTAATCGTTACAAGCGACAAGCGTTGTAATCGTGAACGACCAAGCGACTTAATCCGTCCACGAAGATACCGGTGGACAATAATCGCCAACCGTCTCTCGTCGGTGAGTCGAGCTACGTGCCCGGCCCAGTGTGCTACTACCTTCTGCTGTTGACTTTTGACTACAGCGTCTTCCACTCCGGTCCGTTGTCTGATCACTTTGTTGGGGACATGGTACGACGTGAAATTATCAACATTCTTCTTTCCATGGCTCTCTCGGTGGCAGATTGCTGGCCCTCTTCGGCTTTAGCGAGTGACCATGTCTCACAACCATGCAACATTACCGACAGGACGGTAGAATTGAAAGGTGTGGCGTGGGTTTCTTTCCTGATGCTGTCGCCTAGGACATCGTTAATGGAATGAAATGCATGCCAGTTGGCTCTTTTTCTTCGTTAAATCTCATCAGCCTGATCATTGCGCATACTTGTCTCATGGACCGTTTAATATTGGCATCTGCTTGCACAGTCTTCGTCTTTGGCAAATTGACTTCTGTACTATTTCTGTCGACCACTTGAGCATATCTTGTTGTTGACTGGCGTTTTCTGCGGATAACACCACATCATCAGCGAACCTTAAGTGGCTGGGCTGATAATCATTGATTTTTAATCCAACCCTTCCAGTTCAACCTCCAGAACATTATTTCCAAACAAATAGTGACGAATTTAAAATGGATGATGTCTCCCTGTTTCACGCGCCCCTCTACGGAAATTCGGGGTGGGTGTCAAACAGCCTGATGTTTGTGAAGCAGTCAGAGTTCATTACCTTTAGCTGATTGATGCAACGGGTGTCGATACCCTGTTCTGCCAGTCCAGTTCGCCTTGCGTTGCACTCATAATTTCGAACGCTTTCTTATAGTCGACAAGGGCTCTGCACATGGGGAGCTGGAATTCCCTCGCGCTCTCGAGGAGT